TGACATCACTCATAGGGGCTGATCTGTGACACTGACATCACTCAGAGGGGCCGCTCTGTGACGCTGACATCACTCAGAGGGGCCGCTCTGTGACACTGACATCACTCAGAGGGGCCGCTCTTTGACACTGACATCACTCATAGGGGCTGATCTGTGACACTGACAGCACTCATAGGGGCTGCTCTGTGACACTGACATCACTCAGAGGGGTTGTTCTGTGACACTGACATCACTCAGAGGGGCCGCTCTGTGACACTGACATCACTCAGAGGGGCCGCTCTGTGACACTGACAGCACTCATAGGGGCTGTTCTATGACACTGACAGCACTCATAGGGGCTGTTCTGTGACACTGACATCACTCAGAGGGGCTGTTCTGTGACACTGACATCACTCATAGGGGCCGTTCTATGATACTGACATCACTCATAGGGGCTGATCTGTGACACTGACATCACTCATAGGGGCTGATCTGTGACACTGACATCACTCATAGGGGCTGATCTGTGACACTGACATCACTCAGAGGGGCCGCTCTGTGACACTGACATCACTCATAGGGGCTGTTCTGTGACAGTGACATCACTCAGAGGGGCCGCTCTGTGACGCTGACATCACTCATAGGGGCTGCTCTGACACTGACAGCACTCATAGGGGCTGATCTGTGACACTGACATCACTCATAGGGGTTGCTCTGTGACACTGACATCACTCAGAGGGGCCGCTCTGTGACACTGACATCACTCATAGGGGCCGTTCTGTGACACTGACATCACTCAGAGGGGCCGCTCTGTGACGCTGACATCACTCAGAGGGGCCGCTCTGTGACACTGACATCACTGATAGGGCCCGCTCTGTGACGGTGACATTACTCATAGGGGCTGTTCTATGATACTGACATCACTCATAGGGGCTGTTCTGTGACACTGACATCACTCATAGGGGCCGGTCTGTGACACTGACATCACTCAGAGGGGCCGCTCTGTGACACTGACATCACTCAGAGGGGCCGCTCTGTGACACTGACATCACTCATAGGGGCTGTTCTGTGACACTGACAGCACTCATAGGGGCTGTTCTGTGACACTGACATCACTCATAGGGGCCGCTCTGTGACGCTGACATCACTCAGAGGGGCTGTTCTATGATAGTGACAGCACTCATAGGGGCCGTTCTATGATACTGACATCACTCATAGGGGCTGCTCTGTGACACTGACATCACTCAGAGGGGCTGTTCTGTGACACTGACATCACTCATAGGTGCTGTACTGTGACACTGACATCACTCAGAGGGGCTGATCTGTGACACTGACATCACTCAGAGGGGCTGCTCTGTCACACTGACATCACTCACAGGGGCTGTTCTGTGACACTGACATCACTCATAGGGGCCGCTCTGTCACACTGACATCACTCATAGGGGCCGTTCTGTGACACTGACATCACTCAGAGGGGCCTTTCTGTGACGCTGACATCACTCAGAGGGGCCGCTCTGTGACACTGACATCACTCATAGGGCCCGCTCTGTGACGGTGACATTACTCATAGGGGCTGTTTTTTGATACTGACATCACTCATAGGGGCTGTTCTGTGACACTGACATCACTCATAGGGGCTGTTCTGTAACACTGACATCACTCATAGGGGCCGCTCTGTGACACTGACATCACTCAGAGGGGCCGCTCTGTGACACTGACATCACTCATAGGGGCTGTTCTGTGACACTGACAGCACTCATAGGGGCCGTTCTGTGACACTGACATCACTCAGAGGGGCCGCTCTGTGACACTGACATCACTCATAGGGGCTGTTCTGTGACACTGACATCACTCAGAGGGGCCGCTCTGTGACGCTGACATCACTCAGAGGGGCTGTTCTATGATAGTGACAGCACTCATAGGGGCTGTTCTATGATACTGACATCACTCAGAGGGGCCGTTCTGTGACGCTGACATCACTCAGAGGGGCCGCTCTGTGACACTGACATCACTCAGAGGGGCCGCTCTGTGACACTGACATCACTCATAGGGGCTGTTCTGTGACACTGACATCACTCAGAGGGGCCGCTCTGTGACACTGACAGCACTCATAGGGGCTGCTCTGTGACACTGACATCACTCATAGGGGCTGTTCTGTGACACTGACAGCACTCATAGGGGCTGCTCTGTGACACTGACATCACTCAGAGGGGCTGCTCTGTGACGCTGACATCACTCAGAGGGGCCGTTCTGTGACACTGACAGCACTCATAGGGGCTGTTCTGTGACACTGACATCACTCATAGGGGCTGTTCTGTGACACTGACATCACTCATAGGGGCTGTTCTGTGACACTGACATCACTCATAGGGGCTGTTCTGTGACACTGACATCACTCATAGGGGCTGCTCTGTGACACTGACAGCACTCATAGGGGCTGTTCTGTGACACTGACAGCACTCATAGGGGCTGTTCTGTGACGCTGACATCACTCATAGGGGCTGTTCTGTGACGCTGACATCACTCAGAGGGGCCGCTCTGTGACGCTGACATCACTCAGAGGGGCCGCTCTGTGACACTGACATCACTCAGAGGGGCCGCTCTGTGACGCTGACATCACTCAGAGGGGCTGTTCTGTGACACTGACATCACTCAGAGGGGCTGCTCTGTGACGCTGACATCACTCATAGGGGCTGTTCTGTGACGCTGACATCACTCATAAGGGCTGTTCTGTGACGCTGACATCACTCATAAGGGCTGCTCTGTGACACTGACATCACTCATAGGGGCCGCTCTGTGACACTGACATCACTCAGAGGGGCCGCTCTGTGACACTGACAGCACTCATAGGGGCTGCTCTGTGACACTGACAGCACTCATAGGGGCTGCTCTGTGACACTGACATCACTCAGAGGGGCTGCTCTGTGACGCTGACATCACTCAGAGGGGCCGTTCTGTGACACTGACAGCACTCATAGGGGCTGTTCTGTGACACTGACATCACTCATAGGGGCCGTTCTGTGACGCTGACATCACTCAGAGGGGCCGCTCTGTGACACTGACATCACTCAGAGGGGCCGCTCTGTGACGCTGACATCACTCAGAGGGGCTGTTCTGTGACACTGACATCACTCAGAGGGGCTGCTCTGTGACGCTGACATCACTCAGAGGGGCCGTTCTGTGACACTGACATCACTCAGAGGGGCTGCTCTGTGACGCTGACATCACTCAGAGGGGCCGTTCTGTGACACTGACAGCACTCATAGGGGCTGTTCTGTGACACTGACATCACTCATAGGGGCTGTTCTGTGACGCTGACATCACTCATAGGGGCTGTTCTGTGACACTGACATCACTCATAGGGGCTGTTCTGTGACACTGACATCACTCATAGGGGCTGTTCTGTGACACTGACATCACTCATAGGGGCTGCTCTGTGACACTGACATCACTCATAGGGGCTGCTCTGTGACACTGACAGCACTCATAGGGGCTGTTCTGTGACACTGACAGCACTCATAGGGGCTGTTCTGTGACGCTGACATCACTCATAGGGGCTGTTCTGTGACGCTGACAGCACTCATAGGGGCTGCTCTGTGACGCTGACATCACTCAGAGGGGCTGCTCTGTGACGCTGACATCACTCATAGGGGCTGCTCTGTGACACTGACATCACTCAGAGGGGCTGTTCTGTGACACTGACATCACTCATAGGTGCTGTACTGTGACACTGACATCACTCAGAGGGGCTGATCTGTGACACTGACATCACTCAGAGGGGCTGCTCTGTCACACTGACATCACTCACAGGGGCCGTTCTGTGACACTGACATCACTCATAGGGGCCGCTCTGTCACACTGACATCACTCATAGGGGCTGTTCTGTGACGCTGACATCACTCAGAGGGGCTGTTCTGTGACACTGACATCACTCATAGGGGCTGCTCTGTGACACTGACAGCACTCATAGGGGCTGTTCTGTGACACTGACAGCACTCATAGGGGCTGATCTGTGACACTGACATCACTCATAGGGGCTGTTCTGTGACACTGACATCACTCATAAGGGCTGCTCTGTGACACTGACATCACTCATAGGGGCTGTTCTGTGACACTGACATCACTCATAGGGGCTGCTCTGTGACACTGACATCACTCATAGGGGCTGTTCTGTGACACTGACATCACTCATAGGGGCTGCTCTGTGACACTGACATCACTCATAGGGGCTGTTCTGTGACACTGACATCACTCATAGGGGCTGTTCTGTGACACTGACATCACTCATAGGGGCTGCTCTGTGACACTGACATCACTCATAGGCGCTGTTCTGTGACACTGACAGCACTCATAGGGGCCGTTCTGTGACACTGACATCACTCATAGGGGCCGCTCTGTGACACTGACAGCACTCATAGGGGCCGTTCTGTGACACTGACAGCACTCAGAGGGGCCGCTCTGTGACACTGACAGCACTCATAGGGGCTGTTCTGTGACACTGACATCACTCATAGGGGCTGCTCTGTGACACTGACATCACTCATAGGGGCTGCTCTGTGACACTGACATCACTCATAGGGGCTGATCTGTGACACTGACATCACTCAGAGGGGCTGAGCTGTGACACTGACATCACTCAGAGGGGCTGATCTGTGACACTGACATCACTCAGAGGAGCTGCTCTGTGACACTGACATCACTCATAGGGGCTGTTCTGTGACACTGACATCACTCAGAGGGGCCGCTCTGTGACACTGACATCACTCATAGGGGCTGATCTGTGACGCTGACATCACTCAGAGGGGCCGCTCTGTGACGCTGACATCACTCAGAGGGGCCACTCTGTGACACTGACATCACTCATAGGGGCCGCTCTGTGACACTGACATCACTCATAGGGGCTGATCTGTGACACTGACAGCACTCATAGGGGCTGCTCTGTGACACTGACATCACTCAGAGGGGCTGCTCTGTGACACTGACATCACTGAGAGGCTCTAAGGCTGGCAGTCAGCACTCACCCTTTTTTACATTTCTTGAAGATTTTCCCAATCTTTTCTTGGGGAACATCGTATTTGTCAGAGATCTAAAAGAACAAAGAAATATAATATTACAAAGTTCTATGTTCATGACTTGACAAAACAATACATTCACACAGTGGTACAGACACTCAGCTTTCTGTTTCTCACATATGCACACACAAAGACACCGATGAGGACCTGTCTATCCTGGGGAAGGGGGGCTACCTGCCTTTGGAGAGAGCTGGAATCAGGGGTCGGTTGCTTCCCAAAGTCACAGGTGTCACAGCTCTATTATATGGCCATGGTTTTTGAAATTAATACCTTACACAGCAGTGTTAGATTTACAGAGAAAGTACAGAGCTGCTCTCTCCACCCAATATCTGTGCACTGCACTTGTCCTGTCTGATGAGCGGATGCTGCTGCAACAAGAAAACTAAAGTCCTCTGCCCACCTCTCTGAGCTGAGCGCTGCATGCGTGTTGACATCCATGTGTGCCCCTCTCTTGAGCTGTGCGCTCCAAGTGTGCTGACGTCCACGTGGGCCCCTCTCTGAGCTGGGAGCGCCAAGTGTGCTGACGTCCACGTGGGGCCCTTTCTGAGCTGGGAGCTCCATGCATGTTGACATCCATTTGGGCCCCTCTCTGAGCTGCAGGCTCCATGCGTGTTGACGTCCACGTGGGTCCCTCTCTGAGCTGTGTGCTCCAGGCATGCTGACATCCACATGGGCCCCCTCCGAGCTGCAGGCTCCATGCGTATTGACAAGCATCCTGTCCAGGCACTTTACTCAGCACACAAAGGCCTCACTCTGGAGTCAGACACGCCTAAACGGCATCAGTTCTAACTCAGTTTCCACTGGCAGGTGACCGTTCTAACCCTTGGCTTCCTCTCAACAGGAAAGAGAGACCCTCACCTCACATACCCCACGACTATCGTGGGATTAAGGCGTGTCCAGCACAAAGCAGTTCATTTCAGATATGGAATCACCGGAAGGAAGGAACTGTGATTCTACAGCTCAGAAGGATCATCCAAGGGCCCTGGCCACAGCCAGGCTGGCTCCTCGCCAAGGGCAGAGCCTCTTTGGAGGGCAGTGGGCTCTGGCTGAGGCGTGGCTGCGGGCCCCAGTCCCAGCCCACCTCCCCTCCCGACCAGGGGCATGGGGTCCACACAGTGCAGTGAGCTCTGGAGGTTTCCTCTCGGACATGGAGCTGTCTGCACAGGGAGGGGACAGCTACTCCAAGGACCAGAGGCAGATTCAGTCTAGGTCAGACGCTGTTATCTGAGCAGCTATCTAGACTGCTCCCACCCAGGGGTCACCACCCTGCCCACCCTCGATCTGAAGAGCACGCCTCTGGGTGGCCCTGAAATCGGGGCCTCAGAAGACCAGCCTGTAGATCACTTTCAATCTAACGAAGATATACCATACACATCGAACCACATCCAAGATGCCATCATACACATTCACCTCTTTTCGGTACCACTGGACGATCACTGTGTTTATGAAACCCCCAGCCCAGGAGATGGGAGGCTGGGATGAATTCCTTAAGCGCTGTGAATGAGTTATATTTGGCACAGTGAGTCCCAGTCTTTTCCACACTCTCCTCTCTCTACATCATCAGGAAGTGAGGAAGGGCTGTCAGGAGACAAGGAAGTCGGAGGAACCGGGATAAGTCACAGGAAGCCGAATGACTCAGAGCAGAGGGCGACAGGTGGCGCTGGGGGCCGCTGGGCACCGTTGGCTGAGGTGTAAGCGAGGAGCCGCCGTGGCGCCCCGTTCCTTGAGACTGAGCAACAACACCCCCTGGCGGCCACCCCCTGCACTACCTCAGTTCTCCCCACAGCGTCCGTGAGTTCAGTCCAGTTCAGTAGCTCAGTCGCGTCCGACTTTGTGACCCCATGGACTGCAGCACGCCAGGCCTCCCTGTCCATCACCAACTCCTGAAGCTTACTCAAACTCATGCCCATCAAGTCGGTGATGCCATCCAACTATCTCATCCTCTCTTGTCCCCTTCTCCTCTTGCCCTCAATCTTTCCCAGCATCAGGGTCTTTTCAAATGTCTGTTCTTTGCATCAGGTGGCCAAAGTGTTGGAGTTTCAGCTTCAACATCAGTCCTTCCAATGAACACTCAGGACTGATCTCCTTTAGGATAGACTGGTTGGATCTCCTTGCAGTCCAAGGGACTCTCAAGAGTCTTCTCCAACACCACAGTTCAAAAGCATCAATTCTTTGGCACTCAGCTTTCTTGATAGTCCAACTCTCAATCTATACGTGACCACTGGGAAAATCATAGCCTTGACTAGATGGACCTTTGTTGGCAAAGTAATGTCTCTGCTTTTTAATATGCTGTCTAGGTTGGTCATAACTTTTCTTCAAAGGAGCAAGCGTCTTTTAATTTCATGGCTGCCGTCACCATGTGCAGTGATTTTGGAGCCTCAAAAAATAAAGTCTCTCACTGTTTCCACCGTTTCCCCATCTATTTGCCGTGAAGTGATGGGACCAGATGCCATGATCTTAGTTTTCTGAATGTTGAGCTTTAAGCCTACTTTTCCACTCTCCTTTTTCACTTTCATCAACAGTCTCTTTAGTTATTCTTCGCTTTCTGCCATAAGGGTGGTGTCATCTGCATATCTGAGGTTACGGATATTTCTCCCGGCATCCATCAGTGCTACCTGGCAAATTACACAGTGGCCTCTGCAGATTTCAATGTAGCCATCTTCCTAACCAGAACCTAAACTCCATTCAGCACTGGGTCATGTACTCCTGTATCTCCAGTGCCAAGAACAGTGCCTGGCACAAAGTAAGCCCTTCACAAACATTTGTTAAATGAATTCAACATTTGGCAGTAATCAGGGGAAACCTGCTTTCAGCCGAGTTACAGACTCACTTTGAGCTCAAAGATTCCGATGATTTATAGGGGCCCGAGGTGGATACATATCAAGACACAGTGCTGATCCTTTGAATTTCACTCTGGGGCAAAGCCAAAACAGGGATCAGCCTGGCACCCTTCTCGTGTCTCTCTATGGTGTCCCCAAGGGCAAGTTGGGGTCAGTGTGCTCTTGGGCCATTTGCTGAGGCCCAAAGGATCTCCAAGCCATCAAAGTCGTATGGGCCCCTTCTCAAGCTAGACATGCAGATGATCAGAAATGTGCAACTAGTGACTTCACTTTAAATCACCTGGCTGTGGTCACCTCTGGTCACAACTCTACCTTTTCACAAATAGGCTTAGGGTAAGATCTTGACACGAATTCAGCCATTCCCCAAGATCAGGAGTTCCAAAGGCCGATGGAGGAGCCACCGTTTTATGTGTGGAAGTTTTTAAGATTTTGATAGAAATAATTTTTGTTGGCTTCTAAGTAGTCTGTTAAGTGACAATCTCTCTTTAACCAAGCAAAGGAAAGTTAAACCATTCCAAGGTTCATCACAAATCCACTCAGTTCAGTGGACTAGACACTGCTGGGTGATTACTATCTACCAATGGGTGCGCTGGGCACAGTGGTGTGAGGTAGGCACAGCTCTGCAGCTGTTGAAGACTAAGTTGCTGGGTGGGGTCGGGGTGAAACGTGGCACATGCCTCGGCCACAGACAAGGTGCTGGGACTCAGGAAAGGCTTCAGCACCACCAAGGAACCCGGACAGGCTGGTAAAATTTGTTCTGATTGAATTCTATGCAAGTAAAAGGATTACAAAGCTCCTACTACTTACAGCTTCCATCAGGCCTTTCAAGGATGGAGTCTTGAGCATCAGGGCATCGAAGACTTCTTCTGACTCCTTCCGCACATAGAGAAGCACTGATCCCCAATGGGGAAGGAGGGAAAAGTGTAATTCATTCATAGGAGCAAAACAAGAAAACAGATTGTGGGTATTGGGAAAAACAAAAAGAGACATCCACATTAAGGACGGCAAACATGAACCAATATAAAAATCTGTCTCAAGGAATACAGCTTTCAGCTGTCCCAGCTCAAGCCAGGAGGAGCTGCTCTGATGGAGGAACACTCAAGGGAAGTCAACACCGATGAGGTCTGTTTGAGGAATTCATGCTTTGGCTGAACTCAGAGCTCACTTCCCACTGAAAACTCCCACTACGAAACGTAAACCAACACACCTCTCTTTGGTTCTTCTACCCGGGTCAGCTTAGCAGGAGGCGGGATCACAAAGTCGTCTTCCGAGCTGTACGGCCCCCTCTTCAGGCTGGACCTGCAGTGATCCGAGGTGTGCAATTAGTGACTTCACTTTCAATCACTTGCAGAAACAAAAGGAGTTTCGGGGTGTTATCACTGGATTTTACATTTAAAATGCCCTTCGTCCTTTACCTGGGCCAGCTGCCTTTATTTTGTGGATGAAAATCTGGGGCTCAAGGGAAGAAGCTGACTGACCCGGGCTCGTGCGACTGAATGGCAGAGGGGGACCACACTCAAGGAGCCTGCCAGACACCCCTGCTGCTCCCACACAGCTCCAGCTGCCCTCCCGGGAATGCAGCTTCTCTTCAGGAAAAAAAAAAACTTATGAAGGAGGTGGGATGTGAGATACGCATGAGGGTGGTAACAGAGGAGAGAGCAGGTCAAAAGAGGGAGGACGTGTGAGCAGGAAAATGCTAAGCCAGGCTGGCTGAGACAGAAAGTCCCGGAGGAAGATGAATCTAATCTGGAAAACCTCCATCACTCAGCTCTCGGGAAGTTTAGACTTTTATGTTGCAGTGATCAGGCAGTCGATCGTTCTGAGCATGAGGAAGGCTACAACTGGGGTATGGCAGAGACTGGAGTGGACACCAGGATCTACGAGCTGAAGACAGTGGCACGACTCTGGAGACAATCACAGCATCAAACCCCAGAGGACTGGAAAAAATACGGCAGTGTCGGCGGAAATACAAAGGGAGAGGAAACATTTCCAGTTGCATATGAAGAAAGAAGGGCTTCCCTGATAACTCAGTTGGTAAAGAACCCGCCTGCAATGCAGGAGACCCTGGTTCGATTCCTGGGTCGGAAAGATCCCCTGGGGAAGGGAAAGGCTACCCGCTCCAGTATTCTGGTTTGGAGAATTACATGAACTACAGTCCATGGGGTCGCAAACAGTCGAACACGACTGAGCGACTTTCACTTTCCTGAAGAAAGAAGTGAAGAGAGCGGCGGGACTGGCTGTCAAAGGCACAAGTCACAGTGAGCTCACTGTTGTGAGGTTCAGTGAGTAAGCAAGAAAATAGTAAAAAAAAAAAAAACCAACAACCAAAAAATTGAAAATGAAGTTAAGTGCGAGCTTCTGAGCAGAACCATCACTTTAAGAAAAGCAGCTGGACCTTAAAATGCTGTGTCTCAGCTTCCAGCACAGAACAGGCCTCCAATGAAAGCACCTGCAGAACTCAGGTCTGAGAACACAAGTTTTAGAGAGGCTGCAGAGAGCCCGCCTTCTGCGAGGCCTGTGGCTCATGTAGGTCGGCATGGGGAGCCAGGATGGCCCACAGAAGGTGACCGGACCGTCACCTGGTAGAGTGCTGGGCAGGAGGGCTGCTGGCGAGGCTGAGAAGGGTGCCCCTGGGAGCAGGGGGCATTGACACCATCACAGCAACCAGCACACAGGGGCCTCCTCCAGCATTCTGAAGCCTGATCTCTACAAGGAACCCAGGCTTCTCAGAGCAGAGGCTGATTTTGGGGCTGGAGCAGGGGAGAAAAACAAGTGCCTGGAACACGCCATGCCTGAAGGTGAGGAAGTGCTGGAGCGGTGAGGGCAGGATGGTCTTGCTGTGCCAGAGTGACCCAGGAGCAGGTGAGAGGGACCCCGCTGGCCCTGGGACCACGTGAGCAGAGTAACTGACGATGACGAATCACAGTGTATTGAATACAGTGGGAAACCACAAGCCCATGCTGATGTAATGCAAATGAGAAATTAAAAACTTGACAAGGAGTGAGATGTTTACAAAGCACCTCCCCTCAAAACACCTACTATAAGAAGAGAAAGAGTTTCACCCCACAGAGGAGAAGCCTGGCAGAGCATGCCTGAATCAAGTGACCAGAGCAAACATCGCCAGTGGGGGTGCCCTGAAAACACGTGCCCCTGACAGGATACACTGAGAGCAGGGCCTTGTCCATACCAGCCCTGCCCAGACGCATCATCCACCTCAAGAGAAAACCACGGCCAGACCCAGACAGAGGGGCAGCCTACACAACGGCGGGAGTATGACCTGCAGAAGCATTAGCTCAGGAAAGCCAAGGAGAGGCAGAGGCTATTCCCGATGGAAGGAGATTCAGGAGCCAGGACAACGAAAGACCCTGTGTGAGTCTGAAAGGGACCCTTTTTTGCCATAAAGGATGTTTTTGGAACAATTAGCAAAGCCTGGACTGGCTGGTACTGTGCTAAGGTCTTGATGTCAACATTCTGACTGTGTTATGCATGGGAACATCCTCATTTGTGGAAACATACAAACCTAGACAGAGTATTAAAAAGCAGAGACATCACTTTGCCTACAGAGGTTCGTCTAGTCAAAGCTATGGTTTTTCCAGTAGTCATGTATGGGTATGAGAGTTGGACTATAAATAAGGCTGAGGGCCAAAGAATTGATGCCTTTGAACTGTGGTGTTGGAGAAGACTCTTGAGAGTCCCTTGGACTGCAAGGAGATCAAACCAGTCCATCCTAAAGGAAATCAGTCCTGAATATTCATTGGAAGGACTGATGCTGAAGCTGAAGCTCCAACACTTTGGCCACTGGATTCGAAGAACGGACTCACTGGAAAAGACCCTGATGCTGGGAAAAGATTGAAGGCAGGAGGAGAAGGGGATGACAGAGGATGAGATGGCTGGATGGCATCACTGACTCAATGCACATGAGTTTGAACAAGCTCCGGGAGTTGGTGATGGACAGGGAGGCCTGGCGTGCTGCAGTCCATGGGGTCACAAAGAGTCGGACACGGCTGAGTGACTGAACAACAACCACCACCAAGGACTCAGGGGTGTTGGGTCACTGCCAGCAACTTACTCTCCAGTGGCTCAGGAAAAAGCGAGTTCTTTGTACTGTAATTATTCTAGAGGTTTGAGAATGTTTCAAAATAAAAAGAATTTAGTAAAACAAAACATAAACCTTACCCTTCACCCTCCAGTTCTTCTGAGGCAATGGGAAGGACCTAAGACCAAGGGAAAAAAAAAAAGATTGCTTTTCAAGCATATGCTAAAATATTTCAGACTTTAAACAAATTATTCCTAAAAGGAAAGTAATTTGGAATGTGACCAATCGCACACAATGACCAGATTCTTAAAGATGTCTTGAACTCCTCCAGTTCAGGAGCTGGCAAACAACAGCCCATAAACCAAGTCTGGCCTGATGCCCGTTTATGTAAATACGGTGTTTACTGGGGCACAGCCACGCCCATTCCTGACTCAGTGTGTACAGTGATTTTGGCCCCACAACAGCAGAGGTGAGTCACAACAGAGAGCCCTCAACCCCAAAAGCCTAAGATGTTTATTCCTGGGCCCTTTACAGCACAAGATTACCGAGCCCTGCTCACCCTAGACTCATGAGAAACTGAATACTCTGATAGTGCCTTTCCTGAAGAACGCTGCAAACACATCTGTCTGTCGGAATCTGTGTACAAACCTCTGGGCGTACGTCTTTGGGGCATCTACCTGAACTCAGGCAGAGGGCATGCTCCACTCTGCCCAAGTCCAACCTCCACTGAGCTTCTGCTCCAAGCAGAGTGTGACTGCAGCTTTGATAAATTTTAGATTAGCGGCCGAGATTCGACCAAACATGTGCCTGTGACGGTCCCCTAACTGAAACTGTGAGGAGAGCGCTCAGACATCCTTCATCCTATTAAGGCTCCCACGCCTGGTATTCCTCTGGCTTTTCCCTCCTGTCCAGACCCATGGAAGTGAAATTCACACGATCACAGACTCAACTCCACATGTTATTATTCCAGTGTCTTTTAAAGAGCTGAAGACACCAACAGATAACATCCATACAGAATTAAGTCGGCAGGTCTGGGTCTACGGTTCCACGGCAATGATGCTTACACACAGCTGACCGTGAGGATGTCACATCACCCGAACCAGACACTCCAAAGAGCTGACCCCTAACCCTGGCCAGACCTCACCAAGCTCTGGCTTCTGTTTGCCAAAGACTCTCCTTCTGTGGCCTGTCGCCTCCTAGCAGCCACCCTGGGATCCGGGTTACCTACGTGAGCACCCCGCTGAAGACTGGCAAAGTGCACATCGGGGATGAAGAGGACAGGCTGGGTGTCGAGATCAATGAAGGGCTTGAAAACCGTGATGTCCATGCGCTTGTGAGATGGAAGAAGCGGCACTTTGACGTCGGAAACTGGAAAAAAAAAAAAATAACACAAGGACACCATAGTCAGCAGCTTCCATTCCCAGACTGCAGGCAGGCTACAGAGCATCTTCCTTGTTTAAGAAACTTAAACTATAGCAGAACAAGCAGATACAGGTCATGCTGCCTGAACTGCAAAAAATTACACTTAATGTGTTTGCATTTGCACTAAAATCAATCGCACATCTTACCAAAGGCGGGAGAGAAAAAGCCATGTTTAAACACAGAGACACACATACACACTACACAGAGAAAAATCCAGAACAGAGGCAAAGTACGTGAAGTTTCTGCCTGAAAGGCTAAAACTTAACGATTGTATAAACATAATTTAGAGTTAATTTCACCCTGGCTCTCCTCATTAGATAATCTGTTCTGATAGTGGTATACTCCTGACATCAGAACAGGCACCTCAACTCCAGACCTTCGTCTTCAGAACTGAACCCCAGTGAGGCGGAGAGACAACGTGACTGCCTAACTCTTTATTCACTGAATTACAGACTCCACCGTCCCCCAGCCCCTGGCCCTGAGGTGCTTAGTGATGAGCTGTCCGAGCCGCTGACGGGCTCTCTGAAGGGGACATCTCCTGAGCTGCAGTGTGAGGCCAGCATCAGAGCCCGGATGGGCGTGCTCAGGCCACGTCTGCTGGGCGCCGGCCACGCAAAGAGCAGGTGCGGCCGTCCGAGCTCCAGCCGCGAAGAGCCTGTGCCCCAGCTCCAGCTGCGCTGAGTGCGGGCTTTTTTCCTTCCTTTTAGCTGAGAGCTATGGGATTCTGTGAATATGAATGCTGGCCATATTAAAAAGGAAAAAGAAAAAAAAAAAAGCTTTCCCGGTGCAACATCCAAACAGAAGCCCTATAGATTCTGCATATGTTAAGAATATCTGATAGAAGAACACCACGCTTATTTCAAATTGCAACAACCTGAATTCCAAAGGGTGTTTCTATTACTCTTAAAAATCTAGGCCAGTTCCAATCTCATCATCAGCTATTCGGGTGGAACATGTGTTATTTGTCAGGAACGGGAGCCAGCAACCTGAACCAGAACTGAGGGCCAAAAATCGTCTGAACTCTGGAAAAACTCAGGACTCCTTCCTGGAGTTCCCCGAGCACGACTTAGTTCAGGCCCTTGAGCACGACTTAGTTCAGGCCCTCGTTGGTCTTTGCTTCCTGGTTAAAGGAAGCAAAGCTATCACTTCACAGCAAGAAGAAGAAAATATCCACTAGCTAGCTTCTGTTTACAACCTTGAGTTACTGTTGGAACGAAAAGGTCTAAAACGCTTGGCAGAAACACTTCTACTTACAGGCGTTCAACTGGGAGCTGGGGTCAGTGCACTTGCCTTTTCTTTTGCTTTGTTTTCGTTCTTCATCTCTGATCTTCCGTTCAGCTCCCTGGGTGGAGAGAAGACAAGACGTGGCTCTGTTTACTGACCCTCCTGAAAATGCTTAGCTCTTATCCTGACCTTCGGTGGGAAAATACCTCCTCTTTGGAGATGACTGTTTTTTATACTCGTGGAGCTTATCATGGTAGTTTCCTCTAAAAAAGCCCTTTCTTAAAACTATTTTTAAACTAGAAAAAAATCACAGGGAAACACTTGTTTAAAAAACTAAGAGAGCAGAATTCCCCTCAACAATGGATGAGGCCAGGTCAAATGGAAGCCAAGAAAATCAGCTAACGTACTGCACACTGGCTTCCAAGATACAAGTGACTTTTCTTGTTGTCTAATAACAAGAAAATTGACAGAAAAAAATACAAGCTGATCCCACTTTGAGTATACTGTCCTGTACAGTCAATGTGGTTATTACTGAAAACTGTGATTCTGTCCAAGGTCTTGGTATTGACTAAGTGATAGATCCAACCAACTATGACTCACAAGAGCAAATATTTAGCTAGAAATCTGTAGTCACTTAAAAGGAAAACTTTACTCCCAGGCCTACAAAGAGGATATACACACACGGTGCACAGAACTACACAAAGAACAGCAGTGCTGCACAAGTGGACCCACGTAGGAACAAACACAACCTGAAATTAAGCAAGTATGCAAAATGAAAACAAAATTATTCATTAGCTATTTTGCTTGACTTACTTGCATTTATTTCTAGATGGTGCAGATTTGTTTACAAAGTTATTCAGGTTCCCTGGTAGCTCCACGGTAAAGAATCTGCCTGCAATGCAGGAGATCTGGGTTTGATCCCTGGGTTGGGAAAGATCCCTTGGAGAAGGGAATGGCAATCCACTCCAGTATTTTTGCCTGGAGAATCCCACGGACAGAGGAGCCAAGCAAGCAATAATCCATGGAGTTGCAAGTGAGACACGACTGAGTGAGTAGCACTTTTATTTGTTAAAGAACTGGTTATTTACTCTTCAGTAAATACATTCCCTAACAGCAAACAGTGGCGATAAAAATCATCCAGTTGATTTGGCACGATTATACAATAAAACCACATTTTAAAATATGGAATGAAAAACCACCTTCTACATTTATCGATACATCACTAATGTATCAATACACACAAACTTGCCCATCACCACTGCTACGTGACACTGATGCAAACACTACATCCCTGACAGAAAAGAACAGGCGATGGTCACCAGGCTCCTCGCCATTACCGTCTGGGGTTGGTCTGGGTCTTGCTCAGTTCCTTCTGATGGTCTAAAAATAACTCCATGTCAAAGTCTTTGTACCCCAAGGATGGGAGCCCACCAGGCTCCTCTCTCTGTGGGATGTCCCAGGCAAGACTACTGGAGTGGGTTGCCACTTCTTTCTCCAGGGGGATCTTCACAACCCAGGGATCAAACCTGAGACTCCTGCATTAGCAGGAGGGTTCTTTACCACTGGGCCACCAGGGAAGCCCCCAGACCTGCCTAGCAGACCTGGAAAATCCAAGAAAAGACCTGGAAGATCCAACTGTTTCCAAGAAGGTTCACCAGATCTCAGGACAAGGCTCAGGAAGACTGACGGCTGACAGGCACACCTGACAGCCAGCAAGGTCAAGGTCACAGCCTTTGGTGTCCTCTGAGATCCCAAGAGCCAGGAAACCCCGAGTGCGGAGGAGGATGGAACCACTGCAACAACCCAGAACTGACACGGGAATCCATGGCTGGGCTACCAGAGCCACGGTCCATGTGCTAAGAAAGCCTGTGGGAAAAACTGAACGTGGTAAGCAGAGTCTTGAAAGACATAAAATAGATCCAAACTGACCTTCCAGAGATGAAAACTACACAGGCGGGACTGCAGCAGTGTGGACAAGACACAGGGAAAGATGGTTAGCACATGTGAAAAAAAATTTTTTTAATTAAATGGATAAAACTTTAACCTCGCCCTACAATTTTTAGGAAAAGGACATGGACATAACGATCATTTTTCTTTGGGCTCTAAGGAAGAATGTGGCATGAAGGAAGAAAATCTGAGTCAGGGTCAGAGACCTCTGCTCCAGAGCAGATGTGACTTGCCACCAGTTAAGATGCAGCATGTGAGAAAGCAGGGGGCAAGTGGGGGAAAGGAGGAGGAATGAGGCCCCTAAGAGATGCCCAGGTCTGATGCCCAGAGCCTGGGCCTCCGTCGCTTCCACAGCAAGAAGAGGAGGCTGGGCTGACTGCAAGACAGGGAGAGTCACAAGTGCCGACACAGCGGAAGAGCCAGAGGAGGAGGAGGCAGGATAGCTCGCAAGGCAGGTGGGGCCACGAGCCAAGAACTGCGGGCAGCCCTAGACAGAGGAAAGGCAGGGGAACGGGTTCTCCACGAGACTCCAGACGGAACCAGGCTTCTGGTGCCTTAACTTTTGCCCAGTAATACTTGGGTCAGACTCCCTGACCTACAGAACTGGAAGATGACAGATGCGTGTCATTTCAAGCCACTAAGTCTGTGGTCATTTGTCAACAGCAAAAACAGAAGACTAATACAACTGATACCACATGACAAGTCACATGGCAGGTACTCAATAAACATCACTGGACCTGCCCTCTGGACCTGGAAGGTCTCAGGCTCATCCCCTGGAGCCGACACAGTGCTCCATGCACCCAAAGCACAAGTCAGGACACCAGGCCTCTGATGGCAAATTCACTTCCGGGTTCTAGGCACCTTCTAAAAAAATCTTCGTAACACAGAGGTTCAAACAGGATGAAAAGACAAGACTGGCAAGAAAAAAAAATACAACCCGGTATTTCTGAGTGGGAAAAGTCAGAGTCATCTTCAATCCTAGTTCAGTGGACAGTTCTGCCCCATTCTGGAAGACACCACTGTCTCCAATCCCCAGGGCACCAGGGACTGCCAGCTTCTTTCTGGATTTAATCCAGCTGAGCGCTGCACCCGGCAAAAGTGCCCATCTCTTCTCCGGAAAACAAGGAGTCACAGCAGAGGAAAGGAACGACACTGACTCATGTGGGCCCGTGCTCTCGCTTCACACCCACCTGCTGCTGCCAGCAAGAATCTGAAGCTCACCTTCCCCTGCCTAAGTGAGCTGCCGGAAAACCTGCCAAACAGCCTGGAAGGAGGCGTGCCAGAGACGACGCAGACACAGAGGCCTCGGACACAGAGCTCGGGAAGAGCTCCACCTCCAGGCCACTGCCCGCAGGCCCCTGCAAGCTGAGGGCCCACCCGGACTGGGCGCAGCGTCTCTGCATCCCACCCGTCAGGCCCGCCCGACAGAACGTGCTCATCGACCCTTCTGGTTTTTCAGTCAAAAGATTAGTTTTTCTCTCCTCTATAATGTGACTTTGCATGGCTAAAACATGAACTGCTAATTTAAGATTAGCTATTTTATATTATCAGCAATACATGCTTCAGTTCTGTTAGTTGCTCAGTTGTGTCTGACTCTGCAACCCCATGGACTGCACCACGCCAGACCTCCCTGCCCATCACTAACTCCCGGAGCTTGCTCAAACTCATGTCTATTGTGTCGGTGATGCCATCCAACCATCTCATCTTATGTTGTCCCCTTCTCCTCCTGCCTTCAATCTTTCCCAGCTGTAGGGTCTTTTCCAGTGAGTCAGTTCTTCCCATCAGGTGGCCAAAGTATTGGAGTTTCAGCATCAGCATCAGTCCTTCCAATGAATATTCAGGACTGGTCTCCTTTAGGATGGACTGGCTGGATCTCCTTGCAGTCCAGGGGACTCTCAAGAGTCTTCTCCAACACCACAGTTCAAAAGCATCACCACTTCTCCAACACCACGGTTCAAAGTACATCCTCACTGGACTTAAGTATAAGGAAGGCCCTGGTCTTTTCCTATGAGGAAGGGTGTATCCTAAGGGTCAACATCCAGTCGATGGCCTTACCTTGTCACAGAAGACCTTTATCTGGCAGTATGCCCGATGCACAGGCTTGTTGCTGCGGTTGTTATAACTGTAGGTGTCAATTTGGATGTTCAGAGGCAACCCCTTCACACCCTTCTGAGAAGAGAAGTCTGTGCTCAAGCAGTTCACAGAGATGAAAACCTGCAAACGGAAGAAAAGGTTCCGTAAGCAACAGGCACCAACAGTAACCCTTTGCACAGCTGGTAAAAACACTAATGCCATGGAAATGATTCAGATTATGCTTGAAACGAGAGTTCGTCTTCCTATTTAAAAGAAGTTTTGTTTTTTTTTAAAGGGGTAATAAGGGTTAATTTAAAACCACTTTTGGTCATAGGAATGACAGCTTTGACCCCTGTCAATTCTCCTCCCAGAACACTTATTTAATAATCGGAAGGTGGATGAGGCCGGTTGTCCTTCTTGACGTCATCTTTAAATGTTCCAAGGGGCACAGGTGCTCTTTGCAGCTTTCTGAGAGCCTGCTGCAAACCCTTTGGGGATCTGCCTGCATTTGTGTCTATACCATCTCCTAGGATAACCTGTAAAACCTATGTTCCAACATCCTGGAGTTTATGAAATCATGAGTCACATGATTGAAGTGGCACTGAAGGCTGTTACTCAGAGAGACTCAGGTCTACCCTGTACACAAGCATGAACATGCTCATGCCCCACCCCCCCCGCCCCCCATATCTGTGAGTCTGGATTTTAACCTCCCCCATAGCCAGTCCACAGGTGTTTGAGCTCCCAGTCAATGCTTTTGTTTTAGAATTTATTTCTGATGCATAAGCACCACATGGTGGGAATTACTGGAACTACAGTTTTTAAAACAGCCTGGCACATTTCGAAGGCCTCAGACCCTTATTCTAGATTCCGGCCGGTCCATGAGGTGACAACCCAGCAGCCCTAACAACTAAACCCAGCCCTAACTACTACACTGGTGCAGGCTGCTGCTGGCTAAAGCAAGACCCAGAAAGAGAGAAGTTTAAGTCACAAGACGGGGAAAACCTATAAGACGGTAATAAGAGAGTAGGGAGTGGGGACAGAGTGTAAGGAGAAAAGACAGTCACGAGGACAAACAGCGCTCTCCAGAAGGTATGCAGGACGCCGAAGCGGGGTGTCCACGCCTGCTCTCATCTGCGTACTGCTTACAAGCAGAAGAGACCAAGACACCCTGAGAAGACTGAGGACTTGTCCAAGTAAACAGGTGGAGCAGTCGTCACTCCCCTCACCCCTCCGCTCGGCCTCGCCCACTCTCCGCACCAAGGATGAGCCGGCGGCGTGGCCCTGCCCCAGCTCCGTGCTGGTCCCTCGTCCTCCCGCTGACCCGTCCAGTGCCCTCCACGGCTCCTCTCTGCTGCTCTGCATCTGAACGTCCAACCCCAGGCCCCGCTCCTGGAGTGTCTGCATTCGGCCCGCACTGTGACACAGATCCCGCAGCACGGAGCTTTACACATGGGCGTGTAAGCAAGCCTCACGCACAGGGTCTCGTGTCCCCACCACTACCTGGAGGGACTGCTGTCCTCTGCTTACAGGTGAGGCCTGGACAGACCTTTAAACTGTCCCCCGCATAGAGAGCAAAGGGCTGGGAGTCATTTCCGGGTCTTTCTGCCTCTATTCCCTGCTGCCTCTCTTTCCCAAAGCAGCTTCCCCCTCCAACCCCAAATTCAGGAAACTTCTAAATTGACACAAGACGATTATACAAGTAATATTACATTTTAGCCAGTTACCTCGATAATATCCATTAAGGCAATTCCCCCCACCGGCCCACTTGTAATGGTATACTGCAGTTTTTTTTTAAGTGTGTAAGTTTTTGTTTTTTTTTTTAAGGAGGACAACTGCTCTACAATATTGTGCTGGCCTCTGCCACACACATCAACATGAATCAGCCACAGGTACACATATGTCCCCTGCCTCCTGAACCCCCCTCCCATCCCCCACTCTTGGCTGTCAGAGAGCACTGGGTCGAGCTCCCTGGGTCACCCAGCAAATTCTCACTTGCTGTCTCTTTTACGTCTGGTAACGTGTATGTTTGCACGCTGTGTTCTCAATTCATCCCACTCTCTCCTTCCCCTATTGTGTCCACCAGTCTCTTCTCTGTGCCTGCGTCTCCACAGCTGCCCTGCAAATAGGTCCATAGTACCATCTTTCTAGATTCCATATGCATCCAAACCAGCTATTTATCCTAGACAAACCCCTGGATTTTCTTTACGACCTGGAATGGTCTGCCATTTTTAGATATGTATGTTTTGTGTCCCAAGTGAAAGTGAAAGTCGCTCAGTCGTGTCCGACTCTTTGCAACCACAAGGGCTGTCCATGGAATTCTCCAGGCCAGAATACTGGAGTGGGTAGCCTTTCCCTTCTCCAAGGGATCTTCCCGACCCAGGAATCGAACTGGGGTGTCCCACATTGGAGGCGGATTCTTGACCAACTGAGCTATCAGGGAAGCCCCAAACTAGACAGTAAATACTCAGTAGGCTAGGTCCATTTTCTCCATTTGGCACCTTTTTAAATAAAAACTTTCTATTTTGTGTTGGGGTCTAGCCGATTAACAATGCTGTGACAGTTTCAGGTGACAGTGAAGGGACTCACCCACACATATACACGTATCCATTCTCCCCCAAGCCCCTTCCCATCCAGTCTGCCACAGAACATCGAGCAGAGTTCCATGAGCTATTGGCACCTTTCTTAATACTTGGCACGGTTTCTGATCTAGTACTGCCTTATCTTGCCTATTGCATTTTTCTTTCTGTTTACCTAATTTTCAGCATATGAGCAAATTGCTCTAATTTTTAAATACATACATCTAGATACACAGGCAAAAGCAGCACATGTGAATTTCAGAGCTACAGAAACTCAAGGCTTTGACTTCATATTTTTTCATATACGTTTTTTTAAGAAAACATTTCATATTACAACCTGTAAATCCAACTTGAAAAGTTAGTCTATGGAATAGATGAAAGAAGGACAAACAGAATCGCAGACAGAAAGACAACAGTTCATGCAAACAACAGAACACATACATAGTAACCAAATGGTCACATTTTTTATTTTACAACTTGGTAGAAAATCTAAGCTTTTCTCTATCACTCTAGGCTGCAAGGCTCAATTCCTAACTCAAAAACAGCTGCCTGGGAAAACTACACTTTACCCTCCACAATTCCAGGAAGTCTTTGCCCCAAAGTGATATTCCCTTTACAAGAGGATTTCACGGTAATCCAGCCTAAAAACCTAACCTCCTCTGGCTTCCCAGCATCAAGTTTCTATTCAGAGCAGAAGTAAGCAGGCGCCAAATCCCAGGGTCAGTATAAACACGGAGGCTTCAGAGAGACACCACTCTCCCTGCCGTTCACGACCACTTTCGATCACTTTCTTGTATATGTTCTTCTATCTTTTATCACCGACTCTTTCCAAACCTGGCAGTTTTCTACATGGAATCAGACAGAGTGGACAGCATCCCTAACTCAGCATTAAAAAATGCTACCTTGTCTCGACAGATATGCAGACATACTGGTAAAAGGTGAACAGCATGTGCAGTGTCTGATCCAAGAACATGAAGTTCAGAGTCAGTGGGCTGAAGGCCCGCAGGAGAAAGACGAGGGCAGCACGGGAACACGCCGGACAGTCACGGGGACAGCCGGCCCTCAGGGGGACACACCGACCCCGAGGGGGACACGCATGCCGTGTCTAAGCCTCAACCAAAGGCTGACAAGGGGGCAAGATGCCGTATGTACGTCCTAGCCAGTGGTAATGTGGTCAACAGGAAAGGCTTTGGTCTGAAAATCACAGCATCCAGTTTCAGTTCCAGCTCCATCACTAACTGTGCTGTGACATGGGCCAGGGTCCACTGGTCAAGCACAGGGCTGTTGAGACCACCCCTAGCTGACTTTTAACTGCAGTGCCAGGTTGGTATTTATACTGAAAGACGATTAACCCTACATTCCTACTCTGTAAGTCTAGTAAAAAGAATTTTGTGTAATATGTTGATCAATCAACTTTTACATATCATACTCTTAAAAGAGTACCATGTAAGGTTGCCACTTAAAGCAATCATACTAACTACTTGTATAAAATTAAGAATCTTGTGCAACAGTGGTTCTCAAAGTGTGGCCAGAACATCAGCCTACCTGGAAATATGAGCGCTGAACACCCTGACTCGCCTGGAAGTCCAGCCTGTACCGGAGACCATGGGGCTGCCCCTGCTGTTCCTGCTCCCACCGGCCCGGGGTGGGTTTTGGGCTTGAGGACGGTTTCAGGTCCTCTCTGGTCATTCTCGTGATTGGCCAAGACAAAACCACAGCTGTCAAGTAATTAACTGTTTACAAACTTACACACTTTGAGCCATAAAAGAGCTCCTTTGGCTCCAAAACTCTGAGGTTAGTAAAACAAGTTCCAATGTATGATTTCCTTTCTTTAAGAAGTTTAGATGTGCTTACATGTGTTTATATGTATCCCATTAGGCATTTTTATATTAAAAAAATTTTTTTACAGAGATACAGTCCTATCAAATAATAATATTCATTTAATCAATGGAAAGATAAAGACTAAAGCATCTGCTCAACCTTACTATTCAACAAGGTCTTGCAAATCCTCAAGAATTCCTAGTTTAGAAGATAAATAGATCAGAGAAGAGTGTCTGTCAGACTGTACTTCTTATGTTCATGTGTGACGTTTGGTTTTCACAGGGGCTGACGTGTGGGGATGAGTTGTGTGTCTGGATGGGGGTGTCAAGCTGACTGCTGGTACAGTCCCCAAGGAGGACAGAGACCAGCCTTTCTGTCCCTGGGGCTGGGATACAGCAGACGCTCAGCACGCAGGTTTTTAACAAGAGAAGGAAAATGTAGAGAGAGGAGTGAATAAACACAACCAAGATACATGAAGGAGTTCTCAAGTATTCATCTAAACCAGGAGTGGGCTAACTTTTTCTGCTGAAGGGTCTGATAAGAGTTTTTGCCTTTGTGGGCCAAATGCAACCATGCAGCTCTGCAGTGATGGTGCTAAGGCCACCGCCACAAACAACATGTGAGCAGAGCAGGATGGTGGTATCTTGAAAGAACTACTCATGTGAACAGGCTGCTGGATGGCCAGAGCCTGAGGGGCAGTCCCCAAGCCGCTGGGACGTAACTGACCTTCACATCACCACAATG